TTAGTTAGAAAGAGAGGAAAAAAATATTATTCAAAGATTTTTAAAGAAATACATTTAAACATTAAAAATCTTTTTATTTTTCTTGTATCTTAGTCTAGAACAAGAGTGAATCTTTGATTGTCTTATAATACAAAGAGATTTCGTGTAATCTGAAGTTTGAAATATAACTAAAATATTCTTTAAAATAAGTGATCTTGTGCGTGATTCATTATCAAAATTTAATATTTACACATTTTTGTTGGTTACCAACACAAATAACCAACATATTTTAAATTAAAATAGTTCAAGTGATAAATTGCTTAAATGTAATAAACGAAACCTTATACATACAACGGTAACAGATAACTCACCTTCAACTTTTTTTGTTAAGAAAACTTATATTGCTTAAATGTAATAAACGAAACCTTATACATAAGTATTTTTTTCTAACGACAGGGTTGAAGGTATCGGATATTGTGACCCTAAACCCTTAATTTCTACACTATTAAACCATACACTTTTAATATTTTAAACCAAATCTACATCTTAAATATGTTTTTACTATTTACAGATATTGAATAGGAACATGTATTAATGATGAGTTCATGATTGTATGACTAATATAAAGTTTAAAGTTACTGCATAAATATGGTTTGTATAAATAATATTAAGACTAGTAAATTTATAAAACTAGTAAATTTATAAAACATTAAGTCAAATGAACGGTCTATGTCTTATAGTTACTTCTGGGACGGATCCGGATATTCGAGAAATTTGGAGTATTCGGATCCGAATTCGTCGGGTCCGTGATTTTAATATCTGGATCTGAATTCGTGTCTTCTGGATATCCAAGCTTTGGATATCCGGATTCGGATTCATATCCGTAAAGATAATTTAAAAAAATTAAAAAAATCATTTTTAAAAATAATACATAAATTAAATATTTATGAATAATTTATGAATATATATAAATGAAATATAATATTATTAATATTAAAATAGAATATTATAAAATTATTTTATATATAAATATTAATATATCAGATATAATTAATAATAAAATAAAAATTTTAATATATTTTTAAAATACGGATCCGAATCTAGATATCCGGACCTAAAAGTTAAGATATCCGGATCCGGATTCGGTTTGCATGGATCCAAGATTTTACTATCTAGATTCGGATTCGAACACCTCCAGATATCCTAATTTTGGAGCGGATCTGGATCGGATCTCGGATTGGATCCGGATCGCAGATAAAAGTTCCAGCCTTACTTATAGTGACTAAAAGTTACAAACCAGTTAATAATATGGGTCGATTACATGTCGAGGGAATGAAAGAAATATTACAAATAAATGAATTATACATGTTTAAAATGCTAGAGGTGATGAAATGCATTGGCGTATTATAATAAATAGATGGGTCAATTTTCTTCGAAAGATTGACAACTTATCATCATCAGTAGATAAAAATGTTCTCTTTTAAACATTATAGAAATCTAAGTAGAAAATTCATATGGTTTTTTAAGTAGTTTCCATGCTCAGCTCATCAGAGAAACTTCGGCGGAAGAGAATGAAAAGTCATCTTATCTACATGTAAGGATAATTTTTTTGGGGTAAATGGGTATACTATAGAGTTTTTAGTTGCGGTTTAACAATCTGGATCCCTTAATTTGGAAGTCCAAATAAAAAATTCTAAAAAAAAAAACAATTTGAAAAACAGTTGTACTACTAAAGTGTATAATTTAACAAAATTATATTTTTGAAAAATATCTATATTAAAAATTACTATTTATTAAAGGATTTATGTAACTTAAAAGACCATTTATCGAAACCAAATATTTGGAATAAAAAAAGAATTCTGGAAAGTGGTTCTTTTATCATATCGTTACTTTTTGGATTTTTTTCTATCAAATCGTAATTTTAACCTAAAGAAAAACATAAGGCGAGACTTGTGCATCTATAGCTGATATTAGGCTTAATTGTACGTGTTTGTAATATCTTGAGGGGAAATTATAGGGTAACTCAGAAGTCTCTTCTGCGATTTATATATAATTTTGTGTTCCACCATTTTTTTTCTTGTTGGTGCTAGTTGTAACATCCTGATCTCCCATCTTCAACCAGGTATTATGAATATGCGTCTATTCATTTTATACCACACAACGTGTCCTGTTATTGATTCCAGGAGTCATCGGATGCATACATTTGATCAAATACCGACCCAATCAAAACGAATCAATATACATCTACTTACAATCATGCATATAGGAAAATGGAAAGAAGGGCATGAGTAAAAGGATTACTCAGTGAAGCGGTTCTAAAACATCATCTCAACATGATACTCTACACTACCTAATACGAAACGAGAGTTGGCTACCCACTATAATCATTCATTCAAATGCACATACTCCAACATAACATCATTTCCATATGTTTTCTATAAACCTAGCGATCACGCAGTACAATGAACTCAATCATTACAACAACATATACTTGACTCGACTCAACTACTCAATAACTCGACTCAACACCAATCATCCTAGACGTAAGGACCTACAGGCTCGCTCATGAACCTTCCACCTCATGTCTGCCAATCCAAAGCGATCTTCGATGAACCATTGTTTCCCAGCTTCCTAAAAGACTATCCGAGTTACAGCTCGTTGCCCCTCTTGGGCTCTGTCTGTCACCCCGGTCCTAATAGTCATATTTATGCCACAACACAGCATGACTCGATCTTAAGGCACCGTTCATATTTTTATCACGCATTTTGCAGTCACCGCCCGTTCACCATCTTATCAAAGAACTTCAAGCGGGTACTCATCACATCTCATTTTAGACGCCACCCGTTCTTGGCGTCTTAATCAATAATCATTCACATTAACGCATTTTAATTGTCATTACTCATTCTCATTAACCCTAATTTAGACCTTAGATTTTTAATAGATGCCACATGTTCTCTGTGTCACAAACATACTTCACATTATGACCATACATACATACAAACATTCATGATACCAGTTGTAATACCAATTGTAACTTATTCTCATTAACCCTAATTTAGACCTTAGATTTTTAATAGATGCCACATGTTCTCTGTGTCACAAACATACTTCACATTATGACCATACATACATACAAACATTCATGATACCAGTTGTAATACCAATTGTAACTTACTATCAGTTGTAACATCCACTAGTAGAAAAGGCATGCACTTTTTCTGGAAACCTAGCATTCATCATCATTCGTCACAAACAACATAACAACCAATCACACAAGCAAGCATTCATAAACATTCATTCACAATAACACAAGGCAGTTCATTAAACAGTGTGAAGGTTCTTATGCATCATGATCCATTCATATATCCACCTAGCACCCATTATGAACTAGGAACCTAGGTTACAGACAAGGACTATCCAAACCATAATTCCTCACCAGCCAATATAAAAGATTATGAAAATAGATCTGGGTTTGAACCATCTCACCAGAATAGACTTGGAGATGTAGAGATCAAGATCTGGAAAACGAGAATTTGGATCTGGGAGAATCCAAAAAGCTTCGATCAACACCTCCCCACCAACACCACACGCGAACTGCGAGGAGAGGAAGAGAGTCGCAGAGGAGAGAGAGACACACAGAGAGAGAGAGAGAGAGAGAGAGAGAGAGAGAGAGAGAGAGAGAGAGGAAGAGAAGAAAAAGCTTGATAGCTAGGGCTTTCGTCTCCCGGGATTTCTCTGCAGAGCTTTGTTTGAAGATTCTGATGGAAAAATAAAAAAAGGAGACAGCCTATTTATAAGAAAAATGAGGGGAACCCTAGATATTAATACTAATGATTTCTGATCTGACACTATAGGAAATGTGAGTATTAATAGCATCATCGGATAGCGTTTCTAACAGTTTTTCTATTTTATACCAATGCTGGATTTTCTAATAGTGTTTATATATATTAAAATGCTATGTTTTATATTGTAGAAAAAATAAAAATTTTAGCCTTGTTAATTTGCTAAGTGTAGGCACCTTACCACTGCAGATCCGAAATTGATAGCTACTGTAAATGTACAAATATATTTATATACTAGGTGTTTTGCCCGCACTTGCGGGCATAATTATCTTATAAATATTTATTAGTTGATATTTCATTAATTTAAAAATCAGCATAATAAGTTATTATTTATGTTATCAAAAAGTAAAAATCAAACATCAAATAATTATTAATGACAAAACTCAAACTTCAGAAATATTTAAAACAATATATTTCTATAATTATTTTGCTTGATTTATATTTAATTCTAATATTTATACAAAATTTTTACTTAATTTATATTTAATTGTAATTTTTATATCTTAATTTTAACTTTATAATAAAAACATATTTTTAAAGATAAAAATAGAAAGCATAAGTTATTTATTTTCTAAAAATATAATAGGATTATTTTTAATTATATAAGATTATAAAAATTATGAAATATAATTAAAATTACCTAAAATCATGGAGAAATTAATGAATCAGCATATTCACTTCTTAAATATTTTTTCATGACTGATAATTTATATTTTATTAATAATAGATAATGTTTCTATTTTACTTTTAAATTATATAATATAAAAGTATATTTTCAAGATAAAAACATAATACATAAGAATAACTACAACTTTTTATATCTTAATTTTAAATTTATAATAAAAAAANTGGAGAAATTAATGAATCAGCATATTCACTTCTTAAATATTTTTTCATGACTGATAATTTATATTTTATTAATAATAGATAATGTTTCTATTTTACTTTTAAATTATATAATATAAAAGTATATTTTCAAGATAAAAACATAATACATAAGAATAACTACAACTTTTTATATCTTAATTTTAAATTTATAATAAAAAAAATATATTTTCAAGACAACAACTTAATACCTATAATCAAAGAGAACATGACAACTAAGCAAATTTACTTCTTAAATAATAGTATAGATATATATATTTTAGTCAAAAAATACTTTAAGTTAAAAAATTCTCGTCATTCCTCTTCGTCTTCACTTCGGTCTTTGACTCTAAACCAAGAATCCAGAGAGTTCTTGGCGATGGCGAAGCCTCCACGTCCTTCTCTCTTTACAAAAGAAAAAGATCTAGACACAGATCATCTCTGTCGAGCGAAGCCTCCTTGTATCCATCACCGCATCTCCTCATCTCCGTCACACCTCGCTCTCTCGTCTCTCATCTCTGGTTGCAGGGAGGAGCAGCATCGAACGCGCCAGCAGAAAATCCTGAGATTCTACCCAATTAGCAGAAACAAAGAAGACAGAGGAAGAGGACGACAGCTCAGATCCCGAGCTTCTCTGCCATATGCCATCCATTGCTTCTAAGATGCATAGATAGTCTCCACCTCAAAACCCTAGCATATATGAATCGTTGTAGCTGCGTTTCTCATCTGATTGCTCATGATTCTTTTGGTGGCAGATGATGTTAGGTTTCTGCAAAGTTAGTTTCATTGTAAAATTAAAGGGCTTTTTATCTTCTTTTGTTTTTAGGTTGGAGCTATAAGTGATGAAAGTGTTAAACGTTTGTGTCTGTTGGATCAAATAGAAATTCAATTTGAAGGTATGTTAAGATCTCAGTCTCTATTTCTCATACTGATTGTGTTTATGGTCTAATAGGACGTTGAATCAAGAAAAAGCCTTCTAAGCATAGAAGTCAAATATTTGTGATTGTTTCTTGATTAATTGCATCTCATCTCAATGGTCTTAACCAAGAGGGATCCGATGATATCAAGGCTGAGTCTAAAGACGGTGCAGACCTATGTATGAAAACCCTCCTCTTTTACACTTACAAATGGATCTTTTGTTTCTTCATGTTCAGACGTGTCTCTTTTTCAGCTGTTGGGAGACAGAAGATCATGTTGGAATACATGGCTGCCTAAGACATATTTGTATTAAAACAGATATAAATATGCGCACAGGCTGCAAAGGTTGACTAGGGACAAGTAGGTGTCTGAGAAGGTATTGGAAGTGGTCGTGTGGACTGGTAATGGGTCCCCACAATAACAAGAAGAAAGAAGGATCCGGAATTCATCAAGAACATCTCCTAATTCTTCTTTACTTTCATTTTTGAATTAAAGAGATTCATACTTTTGATTCTTGAAACTGAAAATTTCTTGTCTTTGTAGCTTAAAAGTCAGTCTGTTTGTACATATTTAGAAACTTGGAAACATGGTTATGATAATGTATGGGAATGTTATATGATAAAAAGAAAATCCAAAATAAAAACAAAATAACATTTTTCACCTCAAAATTGAAACCCTAAACATGCCTTAAACTCCTACATCCAACACTTATAAAAAAAATTCAAAATGAACACTTGTAGAAATCCCCTATATATTATTTGAGAATCATTTAAAAAGTTGTAACCTTAAGTTTGTAAGAATTAAATATAACCCCAATCCTACGTGGCATAGCTCTTTGGCTTCTATTTCAAATCCCAAGGATTCTAGAGCATGTGATATAATATATAGTTTAAAATTATATTCTCTAGCAATATAATATTCCGTAGGTTATACTTGGTCGCATATATCAAATATTTATTGTTTCGCATGCTTTCCTTAAATAAAACCTACGGAATTACCTAATGTGATCAAAATATATATATGATAATTAATGATTTTAAACAATAAAGATTTGATAACAATCTGTATATTTTTTTCATTTTGTTTATTTCTTTATTATTAAAATAAATTACACAATTACATTAATCATATAATAAAAATCTAGATTTGTTTTTGTATATGTTGCATTTCGAATTTTCCAAAATGAGTATAAATTACTAAAACTGTTAAAAGTCTCACATAAACTTTTAAGATCAAGGTTTTAATTTTTTTCTATACTAAAATATAATGACTATAAGACCATATGAAGAAATAATTTTAGTTTATATATATTTAATATCATTTTAATTAAACTATACATCGTATGAAAATACATACTTATATTTTGATATTTGCCTTGAACATATATTGAAAAGTTAATATTTTAATTTAAAAATATGTCATTGTTTTTTTTAAAAATGATTATAAATTATTGAAACTACTAAACATCTCACATTAAAAAAAAATCGTGCATGGTGTAAAGTTTTGTTACACAAATATGTAAATAATCTTAAAAATCATATGAGTAGAAACCTCATTTAATAAATATCCATATTAAAAGTGTATTATATACTATGTTTATATCATTTAAATTTAATTATATATCATAAACAAAATATAAGATTGATTATTTTGATATATTTACCCTAATTGTGAATAAACAAGAGTAATAGTTAAATTTATATGCATACGCCAATTTATTACATAATAGTAACTGATTTCTTAGTTATTTAATATATATTTATTATTTTATTATTTATAATATGCAGAAAAAGATAAAATAAATAATAAATATAAAATACTTATTGTGCATAAAGTGCAGATCTAAACCTAAGTATGTATCTCTTTAATTATTTTAAATCTTAAGTATTTTCTAAAACAAACGAAATGAGAATAAAATTCAAAATAAATATTTGTATCGAGTAATAACCAAAACATAAAAAAAAACACAGCAAGAGAAAAATGGAAGATAAATAGGACTGACACGTGAACGTAAATTTCTCATAACCATAATTAATTTTTAAATTGTTAAATCATGATATAAAATTGAGTTAATTTTTAATTTTTTNTTTTCTAAAACAAACGAAATGAGAATAAAATTCAAAATAAATATTTGTATCGAGTAATAACCAAAACATAAAAAAAAACACAGCAAGAGAAAAATGGAAGATAAATAGGACTGACACGTGAACGTAAATTTCTCATAACCATAATTAATTTTTAAATTGTTAAATCATGATATAAAATTGAGTTAATTTTTAATTTTTTTAAAATCATTATGGTTATGTTAAATCATGACCATAATTAATTTTAAATTGTTTATTTGTATTTGAAAAACTTAAAATATTGTTTTTAAAAATAATTTAAAATTTAACATAATTTTTTATAAATTATTTAAAAAATATAATTTGTAAAAAAATATAATTTTCTAATATTATTAGACAGATAAATAAATTATATTAAATTAGTTTTGAAACTTTATAAATTTTAAATGCAAATATTTTACCAATTGCTTCTTAAAAACATTAGAGAACTTGCTAATACTCTACCAGTCAAACCCAGTGACACTCCATTTATTTTCCATCACTCGAACACTGAAAAGTGAAAAGATATATGATATCATATCCATTAAATTCTAAGATTTCATCTACATTTCTAATTAAAATTATTTCTGATCCTACGTATAGATAATTATATAAAAATTTCAAATACATACCAAAACAATCATATGTAAATTTTAAATTTGTCAATACTAAAATTTTATATTTTAATTACATATATTCACTATGCGCAAGGCGCAGGTCTTATCCTAGTTAATAACTAAAGCAAAAGTATATTATTTTTAAAAAATGGTTTTGAAATGTTTTTCAAACTTAATCTCATACCTTATATCTAATCTAAAACTATATACTTAATACAAATTTCCAAAACCATTATTCTTTACGCTAAACTATATTCAAATTTGAAGGAGACTCAGCTGCCTAGGTTTTCTGTACAGATCTTCCGCTTCCCCGGTGGTTTGGTTCACCACCACTGGGGTGGGCTTTTTCTTTCGTCGTGACGTCCTTGTTTCCTCTGATATCGTTTGCCGTCTTTTTTACCTCTCTCTTTTTAAGGTGTCTTCTATCCTCTTAGAGTCATCGTTTCTATATAAGGCTTCAGGTTTGGTGGCCTTGTAGTCCGTTGGTAACAAAGATGGTGTTGTAGCAATGGTGTATTGATGTCACTCAAATGTTTAACCCTAAGGAGTGAATTACTCTCTCAAATAAGAGGTTCAATCGTAGTACTTAGGGATCGAATCCACAAGGAACTAGAGTCACAAAAGATATAATCCTAAGTGATTAAGCTAGGTTGATTAGGTTTAAAAACAGTAAATAAAAGTTGGTAGCAATGGTAAGTTGCTAAGGAAAATGGTTTTGGGTTTTGAAACAATAAAAGAAAGTAGTTAGATTCAAGGTTACTATTCAGAAAATCAGGATTATAAATATATGGATGTCTTAACGAATTGCTTTCAAATAAATGAGAACTTCAATCCTTAGACAAATCTATAGCTGTCGCTATTAGACTCGTCCATTGATCTGATTGCCGACAGTATCGATCGATGTTGCTATCGCAGTGTCGATCGATTTGTTTTGCCGTCGATCGATGACTCTATAAAAGTATTGATCGATATAGCATCAGATCGAATTGAAACTGTGTTCACCCGAGAATTTCTATTAGACCGCCTATCGCACGTGCCAAATAGAGTCTGAACTTAGCCAAATGATTTCAGGATAATGACTATTAGATTGGTCATTCCATAATCACACCCCTAGGTTGCAAATCTAGAGTAAGCAATAGGGTTCATTTGGATAATGAATATAACAACTCAACACTCCATAGTTGGGGCTAATCCCTCATAACTATTTGAACCCTAAATCTAACAAATGAATCTACTCAGACATAGCCAAGAGATTCATAGAAAAAGAATAAGATGAAAAGAAAATACTTTATTGCTAAGTATAGAATAGAATACAAAACTTAGATAAAAACTCAATACTTTCTTCTTGTCTTTTTAGGGCTCATAGGCATAACTATAAATATGAGTACAATTAGGTTAAAAACTCGTCAGGGGCAATCTTGTAATTTGGTGAGAAATTGGGCTTCAAGTCGGCCAAGTAAATCTTGCTCATCACGCTCTCTATCGATCGATGGTACATGGTGTACATCGATCGATGGAGTATCTCGACTTCAAATTCTACGGAAGCGTCATCGATCGATTACACAAGGTGTGTATCGATCGATATGGGTCTCTTATTGTCGGATCTTCATAGTCATCTTGGAAAACTCTCCTTTAAGCTCCATAAGGCACCTAAATCATCACTTTATTACAAAATGCTCCTGAACCTGAAAACATACCTAATAGACTCCAAAACATAGATAATTATCATAAAAACATATCAATACCATGACCAAAAACGGGTCAAAATCATGGTATATCAACTCCCCAAGACTTAACCTTTTGCTTGTCCTCAAGAAACCTTAAGTTAGTCTTTGAAAGAAGTTTAAAAACAGCAGGGACTCAATCAAAATCTCAACTTTAAAATCATCACCTCTTACTTTGTTGCAAGCCACATCTTATATCTATCAACTACAGACGTACGTTATACCATATCCTATCTTAGCAACCAAATACATCTATCCAATCAACTTAAACATTCCTTGTCTGTCTATCCCCTCTACTGATTTCATTTATGCATAAAAATAAAGGTGTAGGCTTTACCTTTGGAGTATCGATCAAGGAACACATGGATTCAACTCAAACAAGTTTCAGGCATTCTCATCCTGGTTCCCTTTCTTTCTTTATACCCCTTCTCTGAATCCCAACTCTTTCTTTCTCTTTTCGTTTTTTTTTTATATCAATCCCAGTGAACAACTAATGTTCATCTTATTGATCTTTCTTGACAAAGTATAAGCGAATAGTGGGGTCATAGGTAATGTACCCCTTCCTCGCTTTGATCATTCCTTTGATTTAGAATAGTGGGGTCATAGGTAATGTACCTCTCCCTCTGCCTCTCAGGAAATCATATCGTCTTTTATTCTCTAGGGATGCCGAAGGAAGGAAAGAAGGAAACCAAATTTTTTGAGACTCTTACCTTCCAGACTTGCAAGAGGATTCTGATCCCTTGTATACCAAGCCCCAAGACAAGCAGTAGATGTCAGGTTAGGTTAGAAATCAGCTTTGGTTCTTCCAGACAATCATGAAAGTGTTGTCATAGGTGATCGGTGATCCACTTTAG